CCCCCCCCGCCTCAACGGGCTCAGCAAAGTCAGAGCCTGGTTGGCCACCCCACTCCCAAATCGATGCCAACCCTATGCCGGCCCTCCCTATGCTGCAGCCATGGGGCCATCACTCCTGTTGCCGCACTCACCGGAGCAGTTACCAGCGGTGAGACTGGACACTGCCTGGGTTTCCCGTGCTGTAGTTACTGGGCTCTGTGCTCCAGCCTGAGCAGCCGTGGCTCTTTTTGGAGGCTGCTGCCACAGACAGAGACCCAGAGCCCCTGCACCATACAGGCTTCTGGTGCCACGCGTGGACCTGCACAGTTCCCAACACCGAGAAAAATGAAAATGAAAATGAAAGGAGCTATTGCAGCTGCAGACAGCTTGCAGAAAGCATCAGAGCCCTCCCACACAGGGCACCCACGAGGTCTCACACCCGCAGGAAATCCAGGCACTGGCAGCGCTGGGTGGATGTGGCAGGTTTTGATGCCCATGAGCTTACACCTCTGGAAAGCCCCAGCGTACCGGTTAGGTCATAGTGGGGCTGAGCCAAGCTGGAATGAGGAAGGAAACCAGAATTTATTGAGATTTAATTTATTAAGTGCAGCAGATTTCAAAGATTGAATTTATTAAGTGCAGCAGGTTTCCAGGGGTGAAACAGAAGCAAATTCCTTCTAGCAGAGAGGGTGACTCACAGCACCCTGGATCCCCACACCCCACGCAGCTCCAGGAGATGCTGGCTCAGGAGGCAGTGCCCACAGGCACTGGCGACATAGCAGGGGCTTCCTGCAGCCGGGCTCTTGCTGGCCAGTAAGGCCCTCAACGCTCTCAGGTCCCTGGTCCTGGTGACCACAGACCCAGAGCAGCCAAAGTACTCAAGGCCTTCTTTGACTTGTTGTTATTGCAGAGGTTTGCCCTCAAGCCTCCCAGGTCCCTGGTCCTAGCAGCAGCGTCTGCAGCGGTGAAGCATTACCCACCCTAGAGGCAGACTGACTTAGGGCATGCGACCACAACCCCATAGGACCAGGTGGGATGCACTCAAGGATGCTAAGGCTGGTGGCTGATGCCATGGCAAGGATCCTCTCTAATCTCTTTGGAAGATCATCGCAATCAGGAGGTTCCTGATGAGTGGGAGAAGGCAAACATCACACATCATAACTTTGAGCAGGGCAAGAAATAGGGCTTGGTGAACTACAGCCTGCCCAACGTCACCTCTGTCCCTGGGAAGGTGATTGAGCAAATCCTCCTGGCAATCACCGCCAAGCACCTGAAGGATGAGAAGGGAACAACCAGCAGGGATTTACAAAGGGCACATTGTACCTGACCAACCTGAGTGCCTTATGAGATGAGATAACTGGCCGTGTGGATGACGGGAGAACCTTCACTTCAGCAAAGCTTTCAGCATGGTCTCCCATGGCCTCTGTGTAGCCAGACTGGGTAGATACAGGCTGGGTAAGGGGGGTGACTGTCCCGAATGTGCTCTGGGTCCAATTGCTTTCTGCCCA